GTCACATGATAATTGTACCGGCATTATAAGAGTTTTGCCAGCACTAATAGATATCCATCATTATGTTCGGAAATGTATTCTTAACGCCAGCTTTATAAAAATTTATTTACATGATAAAAATTACACAAACTTAAGTAAAATTACGTAAAATTACGGTAATTTTCCAACCCTAATTGCAGTGCCAATAAGAATTGTCCACCAACATTGTTTTCATAGAAAAAAATGCGTTGTCAGAAAATATGTCCATATCATAAAAAATTTAATTAATAAGAAGTCATTTAATTATATATAAGTTATCCACAAGTGTTAGTAGTAATAACATTTTAAATTTAAGAATACAGTATTTTGAATCTATTATTCACTAAAATTAAATCTTTCGGTTTCGTAATTTGTGTTAAACGATTAGATCTAATTATTGGACACTACTTATAATAAGTCCCGAAATAATACACACGTGATTAAGACCCAAGATATTACTCATCATCCATGTCAGCTTATTTATTGAATAAGATCTGATGATATATCTCGAATATAGTACCCGATTCTTAACAAAATACCTAAGGGTACCATTCAATCTTAAAAATGGAGTTCTTGAATAAGACCCGGGTACTATAAGCAGTGACTGACGGTACTCATTCCAAGAGTAACATGGAAAATGAATTAACTGTTAATATAACATTGGGTATTTCCACTATGGCAAATTGATATGTCCTTCGCTCCTATGCATCCCACTTTCATCGTAAGCACCAATTTTTGAAATATGAATTTTTTCAATCTTACTCGTTCCATAATCAATATCTGCGTATTTATTAAGAATTTGGATGGCAGAAAATGGTATTCGACGATTCCGTTTATATTTATCCTTACTTGCGAATTTTCGGTGACTAGTATTTATTAATGTTGTATGAAGCTAAATGATGTTTTGTATACACGGTAAGTTTATTTATGAAATAAAGTGATATAGAAATATTTAGTGTTACAAATCGAAAGCTGAAAAAATTGAATAGTCGGTTAGTTGACAATTAATCGATTAAAGAATTAATTGCTAAAAAATTAATTAATTCTTTAATTAATTAGTTGCAACTAATCGATTAATCGATTAGTTATAATTTACAATTAATCGAAAAATCGATTAATTGCAACTTAACAATCAATCGATTAGTTGAAACTAGTTTGTCAACTAAAAAAATAATCCTCAACTAATCGATTGGAAAAATATTGGCGATTTGTAACACTAGAAATATTAATGAATTTTGTAAAAACCTTGAATGGACGATTTTCCTTCTTCATGTAACCTGCTTCCGTGAACTTGGTTGTTAAAAATTCTATTGAGTAATGTGAAAATTGAATCAAACATGTCAGGTACATAGATATCAACCCATCAATCTATTTATACATATGTAAACGTACCTGCTATTTTAATAATAACGTCTCGACCTTCAGACTCCTCTACCTTTGCATATATAACATTCGCTTTCTCTAGAAATCGAATGGTATGTTAGTGAAAGTTAGTTAATATACAATTACAGCATTGTGAAATAATAAGTTAAATTTCAAAGTTCTTTACCAGGGTCATTTTCCATGATTGCTATTCCTAACAATTTGGCAACTACAGATTGTGTGCCTACCAAGTCATAAATCTCTGCACTTAAACTTTTAAGCAATCGTACAGCACTTTCGATGTCCTCTTTCATATGTAGATTTAACACACCCATAGTGAGATGTAATGAAGCTGGTTTGATAAATATTGATTTATCTATATTGGGAATAGCAAGTGAAGCTACTTCCGATTGGAAATCAGCAACTTTCTGCTGAAGGAGTAGGTCCGTAAGCGGTAGAGAAATAAAATGAGTTGGTTGTAACCTGTCAACTCCCTTGAGATTATATTGTTTATCATTAATCATTAAAGTTTATGTTTTTAAGGTTGATTAAAGAAAATCGACTCACCCATTTAACAGCATTTTCTATACGTTTCTTAGCCTTTTCCACATTTTTTTTTGTACCCTTAATTACTGAATACAAAATAAAACTTAGTTGATATCAACAATCAGCTTTATGATTTATAAAATTGCAATTTACCAACATTATCGTCTCCGCGCTGTATTGTGATTGTAGTTCTCGAGTCGCGTTGAATTTGATTTAATGTAGACCCACTCTTTCCTATTTCGTAAGTACTTTTAATTAGTCTTTTTTAAGTTAAATCGCGTAGATAATGAAAATTATCAAAAATTACCAAATATAAATTTTTGTAGATGTTGAGGATATGTGAGACTAATTGTAATTTCTTCATTTAATATTTTGTCATTATCATCTACGGCTTCACCTCTAGTTTCATTTTTAGCTTCGGAACTTTCAATAGCCGAAAATTGACGGGCTATGAATCATAAAAGTATATTTTGAACATAATATTTGGATGAACCATTTAACAATTAGTTCTATAGTACTATACCTAACATCGTATGATTGGCGACAGTGTTATTCGGAATCGAGGTGGTAGGAACGCGATAAATACGTTTCCCAACGTGAATTAATGTTATTCCTCGCATGCACCTAGGTGTTGAAGTCGCGGAATGTCCGGAGGCTTCCATTTAGGACATACATATTATCTCCAAACATGGTTCAAAAATCTGAATAATTTTGTAAATCATGTGAAACGGGAAATCGGATAGTTACACTGCATTTCCATTAGTATAAATTATGCACTTTTTATAATATAAAAACGAAATAGTTTCTTTACACAAGCAACCTTACGATTGCATTCAGCTCACGGCGGGATCTTAAAGTGACTGTAACTGGTTATCTTAGCGAAACGCCTGAACCTTGCGGAAGGGTGAGAATAGCAGGAGAGTTCTTATTACTTCAAATAACAGGAAAAAGTATAAAGAGGCCGATTTTTAAGGGGAAAAGTTAGTTCTTTTAATTATAAGAGAACGTGCTAATAATTAAAGTAACGGTAAGAACATACATACGCACTTTAAAAAGTACACGTACAACTGGTAACATTGAGCGTTCAACTCAAGACAAGAACATGGCAAGGCAAAAGCTTAGCAACGAGTTTTACTCTCAATTTAATATCGCTATCATTTGTTGGTGCTACATAAATATCAAAGGTTGCCTCAGTTAGCTGTCATCACAGCAAACTTTTAGTTCATTATTAGTGCTGCAAACTTTGTACAATTTGATTCTGGCATTATTGTCGTGCGGAAAAATTGGTTCAAACAAGTCATTTTTAGGGGATAGATCAACTTGGCAACCTATCTCAATGCTCGTTCGTTACAGATCTTTATCTAGCAGTCTGTTTAAAGGTGCTGACAAACACAATGTATCTCTCTCTGGAATCTCAATTACGTGAATTAAACATATAGATATTTCTGAGGATCCAATATCAATCACTACCACGATTACGATTAGACTCCACTTAAAATCTAAAGGAGAAGGTTCATGATGCCA